AAGAGAGTTTAGGTTTTGGAGGAGCTCTCTGGGTATTGATTCCAGATTTTCAACATCTTCGATCCAAAGAGTGGTTAAAGAAGAAGGCAGCACAATATCCGGCGGCCATGTCCGACAACTAATTGTCAACCACTGAAGAGAGGTAAGGTTGTGGAGGCCGCATCCCGCCACCGTTGCCAAATGCTCATCTGGAACTGGATTGGATAGTTTTTGAGTCGTATTTGGTAGTAGGAACTTGAGAATTGCATCGTCTAACCAAACCTTTGTTAAGTTTGGGGGTAAATCTAAAAGTAAACCCCCATTCTCATTCCCACCTGGAGACGGAATCAACTCTATGTTTGGACAATCCTCTATGCCTAGATCCTGAAGCGATTTCAACTGGGACATCGTAGTACTTGGGAAGGACTTGAGATTCGTACAACTCCATATTTTCAATACCTTGAGATTGGGGATGCATAAGGCCAGATTGGGGATGGACTCTAAAGCGTGACAAGAGCCAATGTATAATTCAATGAGATTGCTGAGGCAATCAAGGCTGGATAAGCCTTTCAACCTTTGACAATTCCAAATTTTAATGGATCTAAGTCCTGTGCATTGATGCAGCATTCCCTTTGAAATAGATTCCAACCCCTCGCAATTATAAACTTTAAATTCCTTGAGAGAAGCTGGCAGCTGACCCCTCTGAAAAGAATTTAGAAGTGGAAGTTTCTCTATAAATAAATATTCAAGATTGCTGTTGTTGTCACCATCATCTTTCATTAGTATTCCATCCGGTAGAGACTCAAGATTTTCACATCCTTTTATTCTCAACCGCTTAACTGTGATGGGCAAGGATAATGACCTGAGAGAAGGACAACCACGAAGTTCTAACTCTTCAAGTCTCAACATGTCGATGCTATTACTGTTGCTTCCGCCCATCTTCCTCATCATCAGATCAGGTAATAATGACTCCAGTGCCTCACAACTAGAGAGGACAAGATGTTTAAGACTCAATGGCAAGAGGCCTTGTTCTTTCCCTGTCAACGACACAAGCAAAGGACAACTCCTAATTTCCATTTTCTTAAGGCAAGCAAGGTTTATTGTTTCTGATCCATCCTCCCACAAACAAGTAAGTTCTTTGCACCCTTCAATTTCAAGATTCTCAAGAGCTGTTAAGAATTGTGTAAAACACTTAGGCAAGCAAGACATCTCTGAAATATTCCCAATTCTCAATTGAGTGAGAGAGGTGAGATCAATCATGCTCTTCAAAAGAATAACATTGCAGTCTCCAATATGAAGATTTCTAAGTGACACAAGACTTGTGGTAGATAAGCATCTTAACTCTGGGCATCCATTTATCACAAGATTCACCAGAGAAGAAAATTGGCTGGGTAAGTGTCCTGTCAACTTGGGACAATTTTTAATCTCAAGATTCACCAGACAAAGGAATTCACCTCCACTTCCAGTTGGAGAAGTCCATTCCTTCCAATTTAACATGTTTTGAAAAACCAACTTCTCCAATGATGAGAAAGTTCCAGTCCCATAAAACTCTGGACCCACTATTTCTGTTCCCTCTATGTCTTCTATAATCAATTCTTTGAGAACAGGTGATAGCCCAAGTGATGGGAACAAAGTGCATCTCTTGCAATCTCTAAGCTTCAAATATGATAAATTAGAAAAAAATGGATCACCAATCCAAGAAGGGAATTCTTGGCCACCATAGGAAACAATTGTGAGACTCTTCAAATTTGAATGAGGTTTTAACCATTTGAGGATCTGCATTTCTTCATTGGTTTTATTCCTCATATTACCAGAATCAGAAGTCCACTCCAAATGTAACTCATCAAGACCATCAATATTCTTTAGATCAGCCTCCATAGCATCTTGACCATTCAAAACATTCTCTAGATTCAGAATAGACAGTTTTCCTTTAAGTCGTAAGAAGTTTTTCAAGTTAGATAATTTCATCAATCTATTTTCCTTCCCCACAATCAACTTTGACAATGTTAAGAGATTCTTGAGATTACCTATTTCTGATGGCATCTCTTTCAAGGAACTCGTACCTTCAATATCCAGATGATGGAGGTAAATTAAGTTCCCAATTGTCACAGGTAACTTCAAAAACTTGTGGCAGTTAAAGAGCAACAGAGTCTGTAATTGGAGGAGGAAACCCACGGACTCAGGTAGGCTTTCAATTAGAGTTTCTGACAAATTAAGGTACTTCAAATGTATTAAATCTCCGATTGAATCTGGCAACTTATTCATCGTATAACCCTCAAGAGACAGTGCTCTCAAGCATCTTAATTTTGGCAACCAATCATGCACCACTACATTCGATATATGACACCACCTCTTTGAGCCGACTGGAATGAATGTTCGCAAACACTTCATGACATTCAAGACTTCAAATTTCTTAGAGATGTCAAAAAAACCACGGATGCAGGACAAATGACGAACCTTTTCATAATTCACTTTTGACTTTTTATCAAACTCAAACTTTTGTTCGAGATTGAAGCACGATTCTCCAGTAACAAATTGAGCCAAATCATGTATGAGATCATGCATCACAAATCGTGACTTATTCCCACTAGATCGTTGCAAAAAAGCTCTTGAAACTAACTCGTCAAAATATTGATGACCAGCTTCTACTGATTGTTGCTGTAAAACCCCACTCGCCACCCACAACAAAACAAGCTGGTTCTTCTCAAACTCGTGGTCTTTAGGAAACAATGCACAATAGACAAAACATGGCTTCAAACAAGAAGGAAGATAATGATAACTCAATCTTAAAGCTGGAAGAATGTTACTTTTAGTTTCTTTCAGCTCCCATATTTGACTTTTTAAAATGTGTTCCCACGCAGGACGGCTTAACTTACCACATAGAAGGCCCCCAAGGGTTTTTGCAGCCAACGGCAATCCTTTGCACCTTTTAGCAATTTTTTCCCCAATTTCTTTTAAATTTGGGTGTGCATCAAAATTGTCTGTTCCCAATGCATGTTGAGCAAACACTG